CCCCCCCCCCCCCCCCCCCCCCGGGGAGCCGCAGCGCAGCCCACACAGGACTGTTCTGGGGGCGTTTTGTTTCCCTGTTTTCTGGCAGCTAAATCTGGGCTTTAGTCCTCGGAATAAAGACTGTGGATAAGGAAAGTGAGAGGGGCGGAGATGCCAAGGGCCCGCCGTTGGGAATCCCGCCAGCAGTTCTCAGGCTATGGGAGTTCGTGACCCTAAAAAGAAAGCCCCTGCATGTCGGCAGGCTTGCTCTGCCTGCTCCCTTTGAGCTTCACAAAAACTGACATGAAGTCCAAATGTGGACAGCATTAGAGCAGCTTCAAGTGCCCAGAGGAAGGGGACACCAGATCCAGGGTTCTTGCAGAACTGGAGGGTGACATGAGGCCACTGGGGACCCTCCCTGCACCCACTCAGAGGTCCTCTGGAGCCAGTAGTCCTGGCCCCTGCACTGGGCACAGTCTGCTATTCCAGAGACCTCCACCCTTCTCACAAGCCCAACCCATAGCTGCCCTGTGGAGCCCCTCAGTGCTTAGTGCTTAGTGCTTAGGCCATGTGCTTTGTGCTCAGCACCCTCACTCTTTCCAAATGAGCCACTGACTTCTTTCCCCAGATACCTCCCCACAGCGATGTTCCTGTGAACTGTGCCCCAACCGTTCTGAACGACGGGGCAACACAGAGCTGGCTTTGCATGCTTACCCCTGCCTAGAATGGCCCCTGCCTCAATGGCCACACTCTCACATGGTGCTCCTCTGCCCATACCTTCCCTCACACACTGACGGCTCACAAGCTCTGCGCTCCTGTGTAAGTGCAGAAGTTGTTTCACTTGACAATGCATAAGGTGACTCTCCTGTGGATACACAGAGGCTACGTAAGGGGGATTGTGTGATGGATTCCCCTGAAGTGAAACACGCACATACATACATGTGCATCTACACGTATACATGCATGTTCAGGTACACATCCAGACACAAGCACAGATGACGAATGTGCGTGTGTACACATACATGCACACACACATCCTGAAAGTGAGTCAGTCTTCTGGCTGGTTTGTTCCAGTATATTCTACATGCCGATTCATGTGGTGTCCCCACCCAGCCAGGCCCACTCTGGACCCACCGCTTACCTCTCTGCGTCAAAGTAGGTGTCTACGTAGGAATGGGGGGCACCTGCCACGGCGAAGTTGCTGCTTCCAGTGTCGACGAGAATCTGTAGCTTTTATTTTTTTAAGGAGACAAAATAGAAAGTATCATAAGGCAAAAGCTTGAACTGACTGGGGAGGCGGTTGTAAACCGAATCGGACAGAGTCCACGAAGAGGCCTGCAGCAAGGAGCGGCCTCCTCAGGCACACACAGACTTGGAAACAGCCCTGCAGCCGCTGCATCTCCCCCTAGGCCGCTGGGACTGGCTAACCAGGCCGAGCCTCCGCCAGCCCCCCGCCCCAGCTTGTGCCCTGGTTCCCTGGCTGGGAACACCTTCTTCCTGCCTTCCCAAATCTCTGGGAAAACCAGATCCAATGTGGCCCCCTTCTGCAGATGTCCCCTGCAGAGTGCCTGGGGACATCTGCCCCAGTCCTGCTTTTGTAGCTTGATTACAGTAGAATTTCTGTACAATCAAAATGCAAGATCTGAAATGCGTGTGAGACCATAGCCACACCACCCTGAAGGTGCCCAATCTCGCCTGAAATGCTCCGTGAGGGCTGCCACAGTATGTCCTCAAACCAAGATGCAGAACTTCTGTTGTCCCTGAAAGGTCCCCTTGGCGCCTCTTCCCCAGAAGCTGCCACGCACGTTGTTCTGACTTCTATTACCATGGAACGGCTTCAGGCGCTCCTGAAGGTTCTGTGAGGGCAACAGGGCGGTGCTGGGTTTGCTCCCTTGCTGGGGTCTTTGCTCTTGGAGTCTCCGCGGCGGAGGAGCGTTCCTCCACGTGCGCGGCAGTGGGTCTGCTTCTCTAGATGGGGCTGGCTGGTCTCCAGTTGAAGGCTGGTGTGGGTGAGGCTGCTGTGGACGCTCCTGGAAGTCTTTGGACAGATGCTTCCATTTCTCTTGGGTAAATACCCAGGACTAAACCTACTGGGTCACAGGGTCAAGATGCCTTTCTAGTGTTTTCTAAATAAACTGCTGAGCAGCTCTCCAACACAGACATACCAAGATGCACTCCCGTGGCAACGCGCCAGGGTCCACTCTGCTTATTTGCTCCATATCCTCCCCCAAATCTGGTGTTGGTGGCCTTTGTTTCTGCCACACCAGTGGAGATAGTGGCATCTTGCTGAGGCTTCCTGTACCTCCCCAGTTGACCAATGCTGCTGAACTGCTGCCCGTCCACGGTTTGGCCCATGTACCCCAGTCAACAATGGCACGAGGGGAGGAAAGGTGGGTTGCCCCTCTTTATGCCCAGCACTCTCCCAAGTGCAGACACATGGCCAGCTGTTTAGAGAGTGAACAAAGCCTCTAGAACACAGAGTAGGTAGATGAAGCCCAAAGGCTGAACATCAAGTTTAAACAGCTAGAGACAGGAAACAGAACAGGCAAGCTTCTGTCCAGCATTATCTCATGGACAGACTGCTGCCTTGGCCAATACCCTCAGTTTTGCTAAGTCTAGAACTTTCTATGCCCCCAACCCCCACTTATTCGACCCAGCCACAGAATTTGGCTCAGGTTCAACCCCTCCTCCTGGAAATTCCTCCTTCCCCTTGGACTCTGGAACTCCAACCTTCCTGAATTCCCCTCCTGCTTCTGCGACTCCCCATGCCCCTGCCGCTGGATGGAGTTGCCCAGGGCTCAGCCTGGCGTGGCTTCTGCCCTCTGGACTCACACCCTCGTGTCTGTAAAGGCCTCCTCTCGCCCCTGAGCCCCAAGCTCACAGCCAGCCCGTTCCTGGCCCCGGACTCCAGGCTTCACCGGCCCAACACCTGCATTTGGTGTTTCACGGCCTTCCGGTGCCGAAACCCCAACCTCACACCCTGAGTAGACGTTGTCAGGAAACAGGGTCTTCGCGGAGCTGGTCAAGTTAAGGTGGCAGCCCTAGGGTGGCCCATCCAGTCGGACTGCAGGGAGGGGAAAGCCCATGGAAAGACAGAAACACGCAGGAGCTGCATGTGACAATCGAGGCAGGGGTCAGGGCTGCACAGCCCCAGGACACCAGGGACTCACAGCCACCACCAGGAGCTGGAAGAGGCAGGGCAGGCTTCTCCAGGGCCTCAGAGGGAGCGAGGTCCAAAGGAGCACCAAGCAAATCTGCATTCATGGTTTCCCTTGGTAGCTGGGGGATTGCTTCCAGGACACCCTGCAGGTACCAAACTCCAAGGAAGCTCAAGTCCCATCTACAAAGTGGCAGAGTATCTGCATAGAACCCACACACATCCTCCTGCATATTCTAAATGCAGATTAAATGACTTATTAGACTACTTATCATACCCAGCAGGATGTGAATGCATGCAAAGAGTTGTTAAACTGCACCGTGTAGGGAACAACGACAGAACGTCTGCACATATTCAGTACTATTTTTTAAAATATTTTTGATCCCTGGTGGTTTGAATCCTTGGATGTGGAACCTAGAAATGCAAAGGGCTGAACTGAACTTGGAGTTTGGTGGAGAGGAACTGGTGGATGCTAAGAAATCATCTTATGCATTGAAGCATCAATCAGAGGTTAAAACAAGTGGGTGCGCTGGACCTCATGGTGCACGCCTATAAATCCCAGTGGCTCAGGAGGCTGAGGCAAGAGGATCACAAGTTCCAGGCCAGACTTGGCAACTTAACGAAGCCCTGAGCAACTTAGTGAGACCCTGTCTCAAAATAAAAAATTAAAAGGTCTGGGGATGTAGCTCAGTGATTAAGCACCCGAGATTCAGTCCCCAGGACGAAATAAACAACAACAATAACAAAAACAAGTGAAGGAGACCCATCTGTAGCTCAGTCTCACTGAACAAATCCCTCCTGTAGGGCCAGGTTCCCTTTTCTTCCTGTTCATAAATACTAAATTTTTAGGGGCTGGGGATATAGCTCAGTTGTCTCCCATGGGCTTGACTCCCATGTACAAGGCCCTGGGTTCAATCCCCAGCACCACACACACACACAACATACACACACACACACACACACACACACACACACACAGAGACAAGACTAAATTTTCAGAGGCTCACTTCCAGGCATGTCAGACTTGCTGGGCAGTTTTTAATCCCTTCATCTTTTAAGAGATGGTTGACCCCACACCCACCCAACCACACACATTTTTCTTAACCCTATCATTTCCTGTATCTCGGTTTCTGTTTTAATGTTTCTTACTTTGTTGTTATTTTTTTAATCTTTACTTTAGAATTCCCTGGTTTTTAAGAATTCTTGTAGTTTGCAAGCTTTGTATCCATTTTAACTCGTTTTTTGTTGTCTTACAACTTTACCTGATGTCTTGATTTCACAACTTAGAATGGCTCTGTGGGCTCCCCACTCTGAGATCTGACAAAATTGGCACACAGCTAAGCCCAGTGACGGTGGGTGTTATAAGATAAGGAGGGACAGGGCATGCGCTGGCTCACACCCTGTTTGTTCTTCTGGGCAGCTCTGTTGACCATTTCACGCGGTGCATTTGAGCACTCCTGCTTTTACCTGCCTGGGATTTTACCCTCCTCTGTCTGCCCGCCCTGTCTTCCTTGGCCCTCCTAGATGGCCGTGGATCTCTGTCCCAGGAGCCTCTCCACGGCTCACGCTGCTGTTTGCGCCCTCTCAAGGGTTGCTTGTGACAATCACCTTTCCCACCGCTGCTCAGTGGTCACAGGCAGACGCAGGCCCAAGCTGGCTCCCCCAGGTCCCTCGTGGGAACTTCTGCTGGGCGTCCTGTGGCCCCCCAAGATAGCCATCTTCTCTGGTCCCTTCCTGTTTGGGACACAGCGCCAAGACTTACACTTGAAGAAGGGTTGCCTGGGCTCTACACGCCTGAGTCACGTGTTCCTCTGAACAGCACATAGATGTTTCTCTAGTACTTGAGGGAAACCTGAGCCTGTCTTACTCTTTCCTTTTCTCCCTGGCACCTGGAGATTGCTTCCTTGGCCTCGCAGTTCCACGGTATCCGTCCGACTTCACACTGGTTGGCGGATTCAACTTTCCTGGACAAAGGGGCTCAACTTTCCCGTTGGTCTTCTAGGGCTGCCGTAGCACATACCCCTGCCGGGGCATCATAAACAACACACGCCTATTCTCCCCAGGTTCTGGAGGGGAGAAGTCCAAACTCTAGGTGTCGGCAGGGCTGAGAGCCCCAGAAAGGCTCTAAGGGGAGTCCCTCCTGCCTCGTCTGACTTTCAGTTTGACCAGCAACCCCTGACATCCCGTTCACTCTGCGCTGACAGGTGCCGAGAATGGATGTGGACACCTGTCAGTGCGTCATACTGTCCGTCCGTCTTTGAGGTGGGCCTGTCTCTGAGCCTCCTCACTGCCTCAGAGCTGGCTTCCATGCCACATGTGTGGTCCATGCGGAAGAGTGAGGCCTGGGGTCTTACCATTGGAATGGGTTCCAACGCACCCTGTCTAGTGCCAAGGCTAGTGCCTGACCAGCAGACACCAGTAGGAGCTGACACGGACTGACACACCCACGTCACATGGCCCTGTGTCCTCCTCGTCCTGTCCACGTCCTGAGTGTAAATGTTCCCTGGGGGCAAGACGAGCTTTGAAGCTGCTGGGTGAAGGGGTTTGGGAGGGTGAAGACCAACAGAACCCTAGAACACTTGGGATCCCTTCCTGGGGCCAGTCCAGGAGTCCCAGCTTTCAAGAGGGCAGTGTGCCTGTGAGGCAAGGGATGTCGCCACCCTCGAGGTTGACTCCTGCACACGGTTGCAGAGGTTTTTCTTGGTCATTAAAGCCACAGATGATAAAAGCTATGGGAACTTGAACAGGAGCAGCTATCCCCCAGGCCTGCTGTCAGTCTCAGAAGCATGCCACGTCACCCGCGTTTCCCGGGTCTCTCTGGCAACCTCGCACCCAGCAGCTGCAAGACGCAGGCGAAATGCCAGCACGGCCCGGCCGCCCAGCGCCCGCGGGCTCTGCCAGGCAGGCGGGCATTCCATGTCCACACTGGCGGCTCCCACACCCCAGGCCTGGCTGAGGTGGCAGCAAGACTATTGTCCTCCATACAATAGTCCCAGTGCCCGGGAGCTTTCTGGGCAGACATTCCGCCCTGCTCTCCTGGGTCTGGAATTCCACCCCTGCCTCCCACCTCATA